TATTGAAAGGTTATATAAAGTTTATAAAGAATCTTGCAAGTCTGAAAGCACATTTGCCCCCCCTCACTTTTACTTTCCAGGTAGTGAATGCAAGCAGACTTCCTCCACTATTTCAGTGCTTCTGTAGCTCTGCATTGCACAATCTGAAATTACTTTCCTAAGTACACAAGATGAGATGCTTTTCGTGCCCCCATTCTTTCTGTGGGCTGAGATATGCTTTGTCTAACCATTGATTAATCTGAGGCTCCTCTTTCTCCTGTCTCCCAAGGTAATTCTCACAGACCATTACAATTCTTGTCCTCCAAAAAAGGTTTGCTAGTTCCTTCTGGTGACATGGTCACCAGACAGTACAATTCAGTTCTTAGATTCCACCCAGGTTATCAGAAGGCAGCTCTTATTTAGAAGCCTTGGTGCAATCTAGGTGCCACTTTCTTCTGAAACAAAGATGAGAAAAACCAAGAGGCCACTATTTCAAGCTATTTGAACATTGTGTGACACCTGGACTGCACCCGCATGATGTGTTTGCATTAGCTGTGCCTTTACATTTGTTTCATGGAGTGGAATGTTGAGTGGAAAGTGGAAAGGTAAGTAGACAGCCAGTGAAGAGTCAACAGCCCCTTTCTTTGCCTTCCATAGTCAGCCCTTGCTTCTTTTTGTCTTCATGAAGACCTGCATGAATTTCCACACAGATTCCTCTCTCATGGTTTCCATCTGAGCTATTTCAGAAGGTCAGCTGTCCTTTATGCCAATTTACCCCACTGCTTCTGGGCTCTCTTCTGTTCTCTGTAGAGAATTCTATCCATCTTTTAAATCAATGGAACCAAGGTCCACACTGTAATCTGTCGAACTGCTTGGCTTGAATACAACCTCATTAAGGGTTCCCTAGGCAGTGAATGCAAGTAGACTTCCTCCACTATTTCAGTGTTTCTGTAGCTCTGCATTGCTCAATCTGAAATCACTACCCTATGCACACTTTCTGATAGTAAACTCCAGTGAACATAGCTAAGTTTATTTACAAGTAGAAATGCTGCATATTAATGGAGGAATAAATTTTAAGATGAGCAAATGCTGATAGAGAGGCAGTGGTTAATATGCAATCTGTTGTGAGGAATGAATGTTGACTGAAAAAGGGGAAAATGGGTAAAAAGTCTTCTGCCCACCTTGTAAATTGAATGAAGTAGAAACGGGTACTTAAGAAGTGTATGTTGAGATGGAATGAATGCCAAATTAATGTGGAATGAACACAAAAGTATGATGGTTTGGTTATCTAGAGAGAATGAATAAGGGTCAAATCACAAAACATGTATGAATGAAGAGGGAATGGGGGCACAGAAAAAAGAGTGATGTGAACGTCACTCATTCATACATTATTCTATTTTTTTTTTCTTGATTTCATTAGCACTGCTATGGTTGTACTTTACCATATCGTCCGGTTGTTATACTTACCAATAAATATATCTAAAAACAAGCAAACATGGAGGAAAAAAAAAGAAAAAAGTGATTGGATGGGGATAATATTTTCACAAAAAGAGAGGTGAGGTGAAATAACAAAAGGCATCATATGACTTAGTGTATGGATAATTTGCAAGGATAGAAAGGTATAGAGAGGTATAGCAAATGACGTTGGTATAAATTAGATTTCTTTATTTTTTTCTGGCTACTTCTTACTCTTTTTCTTTTATAGCATTGCTTATTCTGAAAAGAAACAGCACAATGGGTATGGATGCATATATGTAACATGTCTAGTTTTTATGTGCACAACCAACAGCTTATTTCATTAGGTGTACAACAGGAGCTATTCTCACAAGGGTCCACAAATAGCTTTGACATGTGATCTCCCATTTCCCAAACCCTTAAATTGAACATCAGTAATTTTATTCTTTGGCACCACAGTATTATGTCTGGTCTGGTCCTCTTTCCTCAAAATATACTTCAAATACTACTAGATGTTTAATATGATAAATAATGTCTTGAAGTGATCTTGAATGGAAGCATTTTATCACATGCAGTGAGAAGAACTTTAGACTGGCAGCATTTGGACTGTTTTCTTTTGCTTTTTGTGCTGCTGAAAAGTGAGCTGGTTTCCAAAAAGGTTGACCTGATTCTTCTCGAGAGTGATGGGTGTAACTGTACATGTATCATGATATGCTAAGTGTTGGAAGCACAAGAGAAGAGGAAGGGCATCCTTTATTTGTTTTCCTGGAGGGATTCTAGGTATTTCCTTGGAAGGGGATCCCATTCTACTGTACTCCAAGTCATCCATTTCCTGAAATTGCTTCATAGGAAAGAAGAGTTGTTGGTGTTTCAATACCAATCTTCACATATAATGTGTAGCTAGATCTTTGTCTTGCCTACCAAACAGGTACAAGCAAGTTTTTTTCATCCTTACTTAGCTTTCATTGCAAATTGATACTGAAATACATCAGAGGAAGATTTTGGGGCATCCACAAGAAGGATGGAAATGTTGGTGCCAGCTGTTCAATGCTGGTGTCAGGCCGTTAAAGGATACAAAGCAGAGACAGTTTACAAGGTGGCACCCCGCTCCTACTCATGTCTATAAAATCACTGCAGTGGAACATCTTTGCTGCAGCTTCGTATAGCTCCGCTTCCATAAGCCTGATCAATAATCAGGGAAGAACGGAGTTCAACCAAGAACTGAAAGCCCATTTTGTTGTATGGAGATAATTCTTTTAACATTAAATGAATGCCTTCCTCCTGGTTTTGCTCTATTAATTTAATTAAGCTGGGATTTTTCCTATTCTGGAAAATGATTAGAAAAAAGGGTCATCTCTGAGTGATGAGCCCCTCTGGGCAAAGTGCCCTATGGTACACTTTCTCCTCTCTTAGCTGTTTGTATTGGAGTGAATAAATGAAGCATATGTGTCTTGGATCTAGCCAGCACTATACATTCCATATTGTCCCAGGCCATTAGTAAATACACACAGTCATCCAACATTAAAACATCAATTTAAAAAATAAAACAAAACAATATTAAAAACAACAACAACAAGGGCTCTGGGTAGTAGTAGCAATCACTCCTGTTTTCAGTAATAGAACCACAGTAATTTCCAAAGTTGTCAGGTGCTTATAGCAGTTATAAAAATAAAAATAATTCTGCTTAATTACATCATATCAGGTTGCTGCTAAAGACCCAGGAGCAACATGGCCTGTCCAAAAGCAGGATTTTGTTGTTAATTGGGTTTCTGGGAATCTATCTTACCCCACAATCCTTTTGCAGATATTGTCTGACAAGAAAGAGTAAAAGGAACTAGTATCTATTTTAGCAGGATGAAACTCAATTCAAGTATAGCTTTGGCTAAAAGAGGAATGTGATTAATGTAGCCAAAAGTTATTGCTGTTGAAACCTCCTTCTCCCTTCCCCCAATTATGCACTGCGTCAAGAATAACTAGCTTCCAGTTCCTTCCAGGGTAGGACACATTTCCTATTGGTATCTTTACACCCCACAGAGCCAAATGTGTCACTGAAAAATGAAATTATTACCATCAACATCAGTACTGCCCACTTGGCACATCACTTGTTGCCACGAGTGTTTTAGCTCAGCATTCTAACATGTCCTTTTCTCCACTGGTTGGGTGACCAGGATTCTGAGTCTGAGCCTCAAGGTAAGCCAAGTAATGAGCCTGCAGAATTGCCCAGAGATTCCTTAGAACCTGACCTCAATTGTTCACTCAAGATTCTAGTTCTACTCACTCGAGGATAGAGGAAGGAGTCATGGGGCGGAAGGCAGCAGACCTTAATGCTAATGTTTATCAAAGTTTGAGAAGAGTGCAATCACGAATCACACATGAAAATCTCTCTTTGATCAGAGAGTCATCCAGATGTTCCTTTATCCTCAGATGAAACTAAAGTTAACATCTTGCTCTTGTATTTCACAGTGTGTCACTGAAAAGCCTATTTTAATGGCAAAATCAAGCACTGAGTTCAGATTGCATATGGTAATAATTCACAGCTGAACTAAAGGAGCATCGATGTATAAATACCAACATGTATATCAGAAAAATAGAGAACATCATATATTACACACTTTAGAACATGCCAGCAATCATGATATTTTCAGGCATGTGAATCGCCTATTCTGTTATTTACAATGTCATTCCTTCATTACCTTTGGGTTTTTAATACCAGCCTTTTGTTTATTAACTATTAAGGGAATTAACATAATTTTGATTGCCTGCATGATTGAAGCAGCACAGAAGCATTTGAAAGAAACAAAAGACTGTGATTTAGTGCTTTTTAAGTTATCATCTCATGTTGATCAGACTGAAATTGTTGAATTTTGCAATGTCCGCATGTAAAATTTTGATTTTAAAAAACCCTATTTCTTATATGGAGATCCAATCATTTATTGCTTGCTATTGTTTGCGGCATTAGCAATTAGTAAACAACAACCAATCTTTTAATTGCCACAATATTGATTTCTGTTCTTGCAAAGGAATGGCCTTTATTTTATTTTTTTTTAATTTTGCATTTTGTAATAGTTTGACTTGCTTTTGTCACCATCTATGATGCAGAAGAACAAGACAAAAGGGATCAGAGAAGATTTCATTCTAAAGTCTGTGATTTTCAAGAATGAGTACAGTGAAATGTATAGCTTGGAAAAAAGGACCAAACTCAGAAGCACTGCACTTGCTTGAACCCTAGGCTCAAATGAAATAATTCCAGTTAAACATTTGCCAGGTAGAAAGGCTAGGAATGAGTTCTTTGGGATATTAGGCAGCTATCAAGCCAGACTAACCAAGGGTTAGACTCTGAATAATGCAACATCTTATACTCATATCAATACTTCCAAATCTTGAAATGCTCTTCTTTCAGGTGATTTTCCACCAAGATCAGAAAGGACAATACTGTATGGAATTACAAAGCCAGCATATTTTAAAGCACATGCTTTTATGCCACTGCCACTGAGAAAAAGATACTAACAATGCAAAAACTGGACTGAAAAATAAAGGGAGGCCAGTAGAAATCTGTAATGGTTCCATTTATTAATATGTATATCACAAATACAATATCAATGCATTCTTGTTGGCATGCTAGACAGAGGCCTTATTAAAAAAATCCTATTTTTTTTAAAAAGGTCTTAAACTTTTGCTCCCCATTCTGAAAAATATTCCACACATTCCTTTTGTTGTTATTAAGTCTGATTGATTTGACAATGAATTGGTGACAACTTCAATGCAAAAGGAGAATGAAACAGAAAGAAGGGTATAAGTAAAAAGTTGAATTACAGCACAATCTGATTCATAATTATCTAATCAAAGGAAGCAAAATTACTAGCTTCACAGTAAACAAACAACACGGCTTAGTAACGGTATTACACAAATTCAGATTCTGAGGCAAAATGCACTAGACAAAGGCCAATTGGCGAAAACACTATGCATACAACACTAATCAAGAATGAAAGATGCAGCAGAATATCAATACATTAATTTCCCTCAACCAGATTTTGCACATTTATTTTCAAGTATTTCCCCATGTTATATAACTGATTTTTTCTTCTTTTGGGTAGCTGTTGGAAAGGGGAGATTAGATAGATTAACACACCTTAGTAAAAGCTATAAACAAATCAAGAAATTAAAAACTTGATAAACCAAAATAATATATATTTTTCTATACAGGTTTAATATGGATGTGTGCAACATTTATTAACCATGGTGAAAGGCTAATGATGCCCTCCAATCACTACATGCACAGCCTAATCATCGCTGTCAATGAATTACCTCCGTTAACTTTACAATGCAACTACGGTCTGATCAAGAACAAACATACAGCGCCATCATACGCACAGCTGTTGAGATGGAGTGTACAGTACTGGATGCTCAATGGTTCAGGCTACTTTTTGTGGCACGACAGTACTTCACGGAATGGTACACTACGCATGGTACAGAGTTGAGAAAGTGTTGTCTTTATGTGTGTATACGTGTAGTTGTGTATGTGTGCTCTAACATTCTTTAGAAGTCTTCCAAGAATTATCTACTTCCTGATTGAAAACAGGTACTGTATTTCATACTCCTGGAGAAGTATAGAAAGGAAAGGAAGAGAATAATGAATTGTTTTCATTTCCATCAGTCATAAGATTTCTCTTGTGTAAATCAATTTATTCTAGGTGACTCCAACGGAAGAGTCAACTAATTCACCAAAGAAAGAAACTTCGGAGGCAAGCAGCTCTATATATTGGTAATATGTTCTCCCACACTACAACCCCAAGAGACAGCAAATGAACCTTGCATTTGTACCTCGCAGTGCAACTTTGGTGGGTCCCTTAGTGGTACTCCTGTAAAACCACTAAGGGAACCACCAATTTTTAAACATGGAGTTTTGCCATATGGTAGATGTCATTATGAATAATTAGGAACTCAAGATCTAGCTCTATTTTAATCCATGGGAGTTAGGCAATATAGACCACATGATCAGGAAGTCCTGCATTAATTTCAGTGTCTTAAGTGTGTACATGTTGTTTCTGTGTACAATTAATTGTTGCTGACAATGAAATTACTGTACTAGAATCTCTGGAAACATTGGACCAAGCAATTGATTTCATTGTTTGCTCTGTTCTCTGAACGTCCTGCACACAGTTTTTTCTATGAATGCAAACAGCTCCTGCGTCCCCAGGAATTCCTGCCTTTTCTTCAAGATAGTATAATAATAATATATATATGCTTTTTGTGCACATGGATCCGCTCCTTCCACTGAATTAAAAGGGAATTCATACAAGGACGTGAGTTCAGGGCACTGATCTATATGATCTTATACCACTTTGGATGTGTAAAAAGATCTCTGGGCATTCAGCATACAGTATTTGGAATGGTGATTTATTTTTTGTGTGAAGCATCCTTAAACTACACCTCATCCCATACTGATGGGACATAAGAAAGGGTTTTCCACATTGAGCCAGAGGATAGGCAAGAGAGATTTTGATCCAAACCACTGATGACTTCAAAAGTAATAATCTGGATTCTGTGCCCAGAACAGACTGGCACACAGTGGACTTGCTCTAAACATTCTGGTTCCATTCAGAACATTTACTGCTTCATTGGGTTCCTGCTGAAGCTTCTGGACTACTTTGAAAGCCATGGACCAGCTCCTTGCAGTGCACATTATCATAGGTGTAAGAAAGCATGCATAGCACAGAGGATCCAATCTCTCTGTGAATAGGCATGATTTGTACACTAGCTTATGCTGAGCAAAAGCTTTTCTAGCCAAATGGGAATCAAATGGGGAGAGTCAAATCCAAGAGCTCCCTAAAATTGTAGCCTTGGTTTTTTCAAAAGGAGTCCAATAAGACCACTTCTTAAAACCAGATCAGTAGTTCTAGTGGCCAAGAATGGTTCTCTGGTTGGTCTGGATTAAATTTCACCTTTTTAAACCTACATCTAATCCATTACTAATTTTAAACACGGGTTTGGCATTGCCAAGTTTCACGGTGGTGGGAATGAGATCACAAATTCCAGAATATCAACAGAGGTGGTATTTTAAGGTGCCATTTTTACCTATTAATTTAAAATAAAAAATAGAAAATCATATTCACAGAGATAGTCATCTATGGAATGCTTTCTGTTGTTCTGCTTTATCATTAATGTTATTCAGCACTGAATGTCTTTTCATTGATATGAACCATGCAGAATATCATTGGCTGGGGCTGATGGGAGTTGTGCTAACTGCAACTAAAAGGCCAGGCTAGGCAAAGCAGCTGTAAAATCTATCCTTCTCCAAGTAGAAAGCAAAGCATTTGCCTAAGTTTGGAAAAAGCATCTTGCATACAGCTGTACAGAAACTCACCTTATTACACCATCTCATACTGATTGGCAGTAATAAATCGGGACAGACAACATGCCAACAGCATGCCAATCAGCTGTAGAAGAGAAAGGAAAAGTATCATGCATATAATCCAGTGTCATGAAATATACTGAGTCTGCAAAAAGGATTTTAGATTTTTAAATTTGTTGAAATACTGTATGTAAAACTGAAATAATACAAAATGAAGCCTACAGCCAAAATAAAAACACCAAATTAATGCAATCAAGAAAGAGGCAATTCTAATAATTTCTCTGAAGTATCTCCCCCTTTTTCTTTCTCCCCCTCTTTTTAAGACAACACTGCTTTCATTGTATTTGCCTCTAAGTAATCTAACTCTTTTTAAGTATCTCGGTGGGAAAAATGCATTTTAGTCTTAGAAGTTCCGCATACTGTTTTTCATTTTTGCATACTGCACTTTTGCATATTGCACTTCATTTCGTTTTCATTTCTGCATATTGCACTTTCATTTTTCAGTGGGTTGTTGCTCAATTTTGGAGGTGCAATTTCAGGGCATTCTACTAAATAAAGTAGGACTAAGGTCCTTCGTACGGCCCGTAGGTTGTTGACCAATTTATGGGATGGAAAAAGGCTGCATCAGTTATTCTCTTGCTGTATTATACACTTCTTGGCATATGTGCAGGCAAGCCCAAATGTCAGGTTAAATATTGTCTGTCTGCCTACATGCAAGCAATTGAGGAAAACGGCATAGGGATACAGATCCTTCTCGGTGATCATGGCTCTGGTATTGCCTCCAGATCAAAGTGCTCTCCTGAGTGGCTGCTGAGCTGAAGTCGGCACCGTGGATTTCAGATTTTATTATGCGGCCTGCTACCTAGCTATCCATGTACTTCACAGGATTTTCCTGTTTCCTTCTATGTTGGCATAGCAACAGCAGATGATCAGATACAGAATAGCTTCAGATGTTACAAACAATCACTTTTGCATTTAGCTAGCAGCAGCTGTTTGCAAAATTAAAACAAAAAGAAAATGAAAAAAGATGCACAGGGAAGATATGTGCGAATTTAGACTGCAGAATGTTCTTATTCAAGATCCTTTACCAGATAGTAGAAACAAATGCCACTAGACCAAAAAAAAAAAAAAGTGGGGACACGTGTTTATAACACACAAAGCTCTTGCCCCTAATATACTGAGGCATCTCAATTCATTACGTCATTATGGAATAATGACATTTACTTGGCGTGGTTCTGTATCTTGACGGGAGAACGTATTAGAATGGAAAATATTTAAGGAAGAAGAGTAAAAATATACAGTAATAGCAACATAAGCATTGCTGTTTGCATTAAACTATATATGCCATAGCAATTACTCTCAATTATCTTTCTACATGGCTCATCCACGTTCCATCTGCCCAGGCCGTCACCTGACGTTTAGAAGAGTCTTGACTGCCATAGTAAATTATTGCTTTCTGCAACTTTTTGCAGCTTCCCTTGTGGGCTGCAGTTTTCTAGCCTAACACCTTAAAAAACCTTCACACTGCTCCTTTGGGAAGTTATTTAGTCCATCACCTAGGTGGATTAGCAGTCTGCTGGTTTCCTTTCTCTAGAATGCCATGAAAGTATCACAAATGTTAAGAAAATATGTAGCTGATTTTGTTTCACCGAAATGCTTATGCAGAAATGGAGAATTAGCATTCCTCAAAGTAATATATCTTGTTATAAAATAGAAAGGGAAGAGCAATTGAAAATATTTAATAAGGAGTCACTGACTATATAGGTAGGTGACTATTTACTATATGGGTAAAAATAATGACTGAGTGAAATGGAAGATCGTTAAATTGCTGATAAGAGAAAATTCACAGGGTTCAAAGTGAAAAAGAAATTAAGGGGTAAATAGATGTGAACTGTATTATTCAAGATTAACAATGCATTGGAAGTTTTACTGCTCAATTAATAAATATTAAACACTTAGGCCTACAGGTGTCTCAAATGAATTATACACTAAAATTAAGTTTAAAAAGTTCAAGTTAAGAGCTGTCTCCTCAAATACTGTATGTGATTTAGCCTTAAGTTAATTAGCTACCTTGAAAAATGGGCATCTGCATTTTTTGTGCTTTAACTGCATGATAATTTTTAAAAGCATGCATGCCAACTGATTAATAATGAAAACATGCTTTGAGAAAAGATGCAGAGAGGGTCTGAATTTAGAAAAGATAACTTTGTATAGATGCCTATTGCATCAATTCGGTAACAATGAGCTGATTAAATTTTAGAACAAAAGTTCTGCCTTCTTTCTTTAACAAGGTAAAGTGTTTAGGGAAACACTATTTTTTCTTTAAACACCAAAGGATTAAGATTTTGAAACAGTGAATATTTATTTATAAGTGGTAAAAATGAAGAGCTTTCTTGGGTCAAGGTGGGCTTGCATGTGCTCTGGAGAAGGATTTCTGATGTAAGAATACACACGGTTTCATGTCATGTTTAATTGAGCATAGATTTTTAAAATAAAAACAGAGCAAAAGATTGAAGAATTACCTATTTTTATTTTAAAATCTTTTTGCCCCTGTTTTGTGCATTGAGGCAAACACTTCTGACATAACATTCTATATACACTGATGGAGTCTGAACTATCCGTAATCAAGAAAAGACCAAGATGTTATAGTAGATGGTATAATAAAAAACTGAATGTGGTGTGGGACACTCTGAACAAGACAAATTGTATACACAGGATTATTAGGAAATGGACTGAAAATAAAACCACCAACGTTGTAATGTAATGTTATATAAATTATACATTACATCCACATTTGGAATATTACCCACAGTTCTGACTGCACATGACATAAAGCAACTAAAAAAAGTGTAAAAGAAGGCAATTAAAATGATCAAGGAGCTTGAATACCTTTCCTTTGAGAAATGGCTAGACTCTTTAGCTAGGAAAAAAGTAACTGATGAAGTAAATGACTAAGGCGTATAAAATCATGCATGGTATGGAGAAAGCAGACAGGTAGTTTTTCTCCCTCTATCAACACTCTAGGACCAAGCTGATTCAAAAGAGATTAGAAGAGAAAAAAGAAAGTTCTCCTTCACCCAACGTATAATTAATCTGTGATTCAATACCATCAGACATGGTAATGGTTACTAACTTTAAAAGGGGACTGGAGAAATTCATGAAGGACACATTTATCAAGGGCTACTTTTGAAGACTCAATGTTACTTCCATGTTGGAAGCAGCATTCTTCCAAATACCAGTTGCAGGGGGACAACAGCAGGAGAAGGATATGTCTGTACCTCCTATATACGACCATAGTAACATTTTTCTGCCTGCTGTGAGAAACAAAATGCTGGACTAAGAATGGACCTTGGTCTGATCCAACAGGGCTGTTCTTATGTTTGTATGATTTTAGTACCTTAACTGTGGTGTAAAGAACCTCAGCTGAAACCAAACAGATTTAATATATAATTACTAGCCTGCTATTGAGAGTTAATAGGTAAAGGATGGCTTTCATAATACTGAACTCTAAATCAAGCAAAATCATAAATGTTTACAAAACAATTTCTGATTAAACAATTTCTTTAATATATCAATAATATTTCCAACTGACATTGTACAGATACAAGTTTTGCTATGACAGAAACTGACAATGTGAAGTTATATTCAGCTCTCTTTAGCTTAAAATGTTAGAAACTGCGTTCTGGGAATGTATGTTATAACTAAAAAGAAAAGAGATATCAGTTGTCATATATGGAGCTAGATAGATTTTCTACCGTAATCATGCCACAATTGTAAATTTTATTTATTTTATTTATAAATCAAAATTGTATGCTGCCCATCTCACTATACAAGTGACTCTAGGTGGCTCACACATAAAAAGCATAAAAACAGTTAAAAACACAAAACAAAGTTAAAAAGACTACAAATGGAATTAAAAAGTGGAGTGAGCATCCTCAGGGCACTAACCACTCCCAGTGTCAGGAGTCCCCATTAGATCCCCAAGTTAGTCAGCAGAGCCAGGTTTTAAGGCAGTTCTGGAAGGCCAAAAGAGTGGGGGCCAATCTCATGTTGGGGGGCAAGATATTCCAAAGGGCTGGGGCAATGGCAGAAAAAGCTCTCCTCCTAGACCCCATCAGCTGAAATTCTCTAGCCAATGGGGTCTGCAACATGACCTTCCTGTCGGACTGGGTGGGACAGGTCAGTGTAACCAGGACAAGGTGGTTCCTCAGTTAACCTGGGCCCATGTCATGAAGGGCTTTAAAAGTCATAACCAACACCTTGAATTGAACCCAGAAGCAGACCAGCACTCAATGCAGCTCACACAGCAGAGGTGTTATGTGTGCAGCCCTGGGGGCACCCAAAACTGCCCGCACCACCGCATTCTGTACCAGCTGCAGCTTCTGGATACTTTTCAAGGGTAGCCCCATGTAGACCGCATTGCAGTAGTCCATGCAGGAGATGACCAGAGTATGAGTGACCAAGAGAAGGGCTTCCTGATCCAGGAAGGGCACAACTGGCACACAACACGAAGTTGAGCAAAGGTCCTCCTAGCCACGACTGCCACCTGCTCCTCGAGCAGAAGTCACAAGTCCAGGAGGACCCCCAGATTGTGCACCCCATCCAGAACCAAAGATATTAAAATCCCAGATTCAGAAGAGCTCGGAACCCACAGCCATTCCATCTTAGCAGAGTTCAGTTGAAGCCTTTGTTTCCCATCCAGACCCCCACAGCTTCCAGACACCGTGAAAGAACATCCACAGCATCACTTAATTCACCTGGGATGGAGATGTATAATTGAGTATCATCCGCATACTGATGATACCTCATCCCATCATGACAGATGAACTCAACCAGCAGCTTCATGTAGATGTTAAAAAGGAGCAGAGAGAGCACCGGGTCCTGTGGGAACCCACAAAGCAGGGGTCGCAGGCTGGACCTCTTGCTTCCTATCAACACCGATTGGGACTGGCCTTGGACAAAGGAGGTGAGCCAGCACAAAACTGTGCCCCCCAATGCCAACACTCACAGCTGACCCAAAAGGATACCATGGTCAATGGTATCGAAAGCCACCGAGAGGTCAAGAAGAGCCAGGATGGATGCACTACTCCCATCCTGGTCCTGCCAGAGATCATCTAAAAGTGCGACAATGCTGTTTCTGTTCCATATCTGGGCTTGAAACCCAAATGAAAGGGGTCCAGATAACCCGTTTCATCAAGGACCCTCTGGAGTTGCAGCGCCACCACCTTCTCTACCACCTTTCCCAAAAAGGGGAGGTGAGAGACTGGACGAAAGTTGTCCAGAATGGTGGGGTCAAGTGACAGCTTCTTGAGGAGAGGGTGAACCAGCACCTCTTTAAAAGGGGCCAGGAACACCCCCTCTCTCAAGGATTAATTAACTATCACTCAAGCCCACTCACATGTCACCTCCCAGGTGACCCTGAACAACCAGGAGGGACATGGATCTAATTCACAGGTAGCTGCACTTATAGACCCAAGGACCCTGTCCACTTCCTCAGGCCCAACAAGATCAAACTGTTCCAAGATAACTGGGCAAGACTGTTCCCCAGGCATCTCGATTACAACTATAAGTTACAGTTCATTTGTCTGGTTACTTGATGCCTAGTATCTAGTTAGAGCACAGTCAGTGGACTGCAGTTCTTGACCCATTTTCTTTTTCTTTGACACAATACTAGGTCATCTCAAGAATGATGCAAACAAATTACCACCTGGCAAAGATGCATTGACAATCCTTCATACTCTACAGCTTTTAACACTATATTTTATCTCATGTTCATTTTTCAACAGCGTCATTAATTCCATAAAAAGCTCTGATACACAATCAAAAATACTTTTTTTTCAAATTATTCATGACAAAAACAAGCAATCATAATGAAAATCATTTGGCAGCGACTCTCAGTATTACTTAACATTTGTCGTAGCTTGTGAACTCTTAATTAATTGCTATACTGTCAGTTGTTACTGCGATTCTATTTTCATAAGTTCATCATACAGGCTTCTGATTTATGCATGTTTAGAGTACTTCCAGCTTTTAGGGAAGAGTAGAATTCCCTTGCTTTGTTCTGTGGAAGTCCAGGAAGTGCTATCTTCCATTTGAAACAGTCCTATGTTTTCCCATAATTTCTTTCATTCTTTTCTTTCCACAAAATATTAAAAGGGTGGCTACACAATATCATTTGATTGGTAGCTCTAGGAACCAACTATCTAGAAGTAATCTTCATTCAGAATAAATCCCATTGATTAATGGGATTTTATTTAGAATAAACATAAGTAGCATTGCTCTGTTATTTGTATTCCAGCCTATGGAATAAACTCTTGATAGGAAACAAAACAGAGATCTCTCAAAGACAGCTCTAGAGCAGTTGTCCTAAAACTGATTTACTCCAGTTACGTTGGATATCAAATGTGATAATTCCCAGAAAGCATGGGAATTGTAGTTCAACATATCTAGAGGACTACTGGTTGAGGAAGCTTGCTTAGAAACACAGTGTGTGTGTGTGTGTGTGTGTGTGTGTGTGTATTTATGCTCTCAGAAAGTGGATTTCCAAGCAAAAGCATGGATGGATGGATGGGTGTGTGTGTGTGTGTGTGTGTGTGTATCTGCTTCATCTTTTTTGAAAAGTAATTCTGACTGCTAGTTATTACTAAATATATTTTGTTTAGTGAATGTCATGTTAATTATTTATTATATATAGAAGCAGTTTCTTTGCTTTTCTTAAACCTACCATCAATCAATTTTAGTGGTTAATACCAAAATCTAAGAGAATATTTAAACATTAATTCCTTAACTGCTATCATCATTGTTGTCAACAGCAGCAGCAGCATCACAAAAATAATCCAGCTAAACAGTCAAACAGATGGCTTAAAGTAGTTAGTCTGAATTCTTCTTAGTACTGCCAAATACAACTCAGAATATGAGATGTGACTGGTAGAAGTGGACTTTATTTTAGGGCAGTGTGTTGAATTAAATGACCTTTAGCACCTTTCAGATCTATGAATAATCTCAGTAAGTTAGAATCAGTCTAATTTAATTTGGAACAACTCATATTATTTTGATACAACCATAGCAAAAGCTGGACTTAATCCTTCTCTGTGCTTAAAACTAGAGAAATTAAATTAGAGACAGATTTTCTAATTTCTGAAGACAGAAATTCTCAGAGAAAGCAACTTCATTAGCATATTGCCCTGACTTTGATTTTTATATACAACATTTACATAAAATACACATTTGTTTATAACAAATGCTAATTGTTTGGGTCTCACTAAAATGAAATATTTAACTGTTGATGGCCTCAGATATAACCCCCTAAATGGAACAAATTAGACATATGCTTCCGGCTTTCTTTTTAAACATGATGAGACTCCAGATTTGATATTTCTCTTAAACAAAGACAAATCTAGGCTATGAAACCCTCCATGCAAACTGTGAATCAACTATTTGTCACGTGGGCTCTTTATGCTCCATTTAAGCCAGTTTTATTAGGTTAACCTTTATTTGACCCAATGGAAGGGTCTTTTCCCCCCCTTGAGGCCGTCATTAGTTGGGCTGTAACTGATACTCCCAAGGAGAAATTCCATTTAAGTTGGAAAAAGAAAAATCAATGAACAGATGACCTAAGAACTAATGAGCAGTTTGAGGCCTGCTCCATAATCCTTCCCTGAAGCTGAGGCAAACACACCATGTCTTCAAAGCAATCAAATGGTATACCTGTGAGAATGCAATTCCAAAAGCCACTCCAGCTATGATTCCCATATTGGTCTCCATAAAACTGGTCACCAGGTCATAACAGCCCTGAAGAAAACAAAGAATATCTAATAACTCTTCAAAATTATATCCTCTTGTCCATATTTAATGCTCATTTGAATAATGGTTAACAGTCTAATACAAAATTCAATGCCACAAAGTCTACTAATAATCAAAAGAGTAGGCAACGAATATATCAGTATGAGGCTTTTTATAACTCATACAATTGTACATATTAAACTATGGTTAAGTCAAGGAACATTACTCAAAGGAACATTTTAAAAAAATTGTTTCCTTAATATATCATCCCTGTAGAAAAAGTATATCAATACACCTCAATAAATATATTCATTTATAATCTTCCTGTACTCTATAGCTATAACTTTTCTGAAATTCCTCACAATCAAGTATGATTTAAAATACGTGTTTAATTACTGTGCCCCCACTGCATATTCTCACTACAGTTGTTGAAAAATTATCAGCAAAATTACCTGATAAAATACCCCTTCTGTTAACATTTTCTAATTAATGTACTCACACCTTATTTCACACTGTATGACTATTGTCTTATTAATATTTTACAGAAGGGAAACCAGCCTTATCAGAGTATAATTCTGAAACATGCTGAAGATGAAAACCATTGCACTGGTAATAGTTAAGCTGTTTGGTAAGTAAATGAAGTGTGCATCCAATCAGGCTTCTCCAACCTGGTGCCCTCCAAGTTATCTTGTAACTGTAGCCAACTGGCTTCTCAGTCACCAAATCAAGAATTCTAAGAGTGTGAGCCAACTCAACTGGTCATGAAATTAGCCTAATTTATAATAGCAAATATCTGTTGCACTATGCTGTATATTGGGCTGCCTTTCCAAACCACCTGGAAGCTTTAGTTGGTCTAGTACGTGGCAGCCTAAATGCTGGCTGATATATACTGGCATGAGAACATAACATATTTGGTCTTGCACTGCTTCCTTTTTGATTCTAAGTGCAATTTGAAGTGCTGGTTTTACATGGCTTGGCACTAGGGTACTTGCAGGATTGTCTCCTACAACTTTTTTGTCCTGGAAAAACTTGTGAGTGACTCCCACTTCTGCAAAGTAAGGGGGAATAGAAGCTCATACTGCTGTTTTTTGGTTGGGGTGTCTCTATCCTGGAATTTGATCTCCCCTTACTTTTATACTGAAGAGGTATACAATGATAAAGATTTATACTTGATCTAATGCATCAGCATTAATGCTCTTTTATGAAGATTTTGTAGAATTCAGTAGTCTATTCTTTCTGAGCTAATTTGCTCGCTCTGCTGTAAACCTTAGCACTGAAAAAACAAGAGAAGAAAATAAGTTACGTTTCTTGTGAAACACAGGCTATTTGGTTTTATATGCTGTGTGTGCCATGAAACAATGTTTTCTACATACGTATTTAGTCTTTCATCTGCTCTCACACACTCTAATATGCCACAACTTTTGCAAACTTTTGATTTGCAGCAATTTTTGCTGTGTCGGCCTGCAACATGAATTCTGTAATGCTATAAAATACTGTGGAGTAATAAAACATATCTAATAAAGCATGGGATTATGTCTGTCATTCTATTTTCTACATTTTGGCAGACTGTTAGCATCTACAGTAACATGTGATGCATGTCCCAAATGAGTAATTAGGGGGGCGGGAAGAAGGGAGGTGGAAACTCATATGAGACAGCCATGAAAACTGCCATAAGCATTAAGATGATTTGAATCTATTTGTTGAATTCTTTGCCTTACGCAATTGTCATTATAGGGAAGTCTGTAGTCAGAATGGGTATGGGAAGTTAGTTCAGAAATCTCTTGGAAGGTTTATTAATGGGGCTATGTGGGAAAATCTTTTTCCTGTTAATATCTGAAAAACATCAATACTAGAGACTGTTACCAATTCTCCAGACACATTATTTCGGTACATTTGCTTAATTTATTTATTTGATTGACTTCTGTATATACTACCCAATAACCAAAGATGTCTGAATGGTTCACAAAATAGTGTGCATAACAGAGACAGAGAAATGTATGTATGTAAGTATAAAATACATTATTCTGAAAGCCTGAAATGAACCATACCTTCTGGTTTATTTTAGTAGGAGCAATGGTCATATTACGCAGGTCCATAGAATTACAGTCACTCGAGTTCATACAACAACTTGGAGGAATGCCGTGTTCATTAAAATAAGGGCTAGTATTCCAGTTGGTGTAGTTCTGGACACCACAGCAACTCAGCTAATAAGAATGAGAAAAAGAAGGCAAAATAGTTACAAAAAGTGGGAAAGATTTTGTGCATTTGATTTCAAAACACCCCAGACAAACTATCTATAATTCAAAGAGAAACAGAGAGAGAAAAGAAATCTTCCTTTCTGAAAACATAGTAAACAGAATATTATTGTTGTAGCATTATAAATAGTCATAGTACCAAAAGGCAAAAGGCAAGATTCTTGTCTAGAGGAATTTATAAGCTAAAATTCAAATGGAGATGAAAACTGAGAAAAGAAATTTGCAAGGTTTTGCCTTTGCAAAAGTAATTTCATGATTACCTCCGTACATTTTCACCAAAGAATAATATAAAAGTGGATTTTTACTCCAGGGCTGTGGAAATCTAACTGCCTGGAAACAATGAAGTTCACAGGCGTTGGAGAGAATACTCAAACAGTTCTCAAACACAGAAACACCTCTGTGTTGTAGGAGAGCCCAAAAAGAGATTATCTGATTTTAAGTAAATGAAATATGCATCCAGGTAACCCTTGATCCATAACGTTATCTCAGTTACAGGGAAAGAAACAAAAGGAAGAGAAAAAATGTTACAAGATAGAACAAAAGGAACTTTGGCACCAACTAGCACACACAAACTCAGACAAATGGCAACATCATCGGCAATGAAAAAAAAATCTCAATGAGATGGAGAACTATTAGAGTCTGATGAATGATCATGACATGATATGTAATCTAATGATCAAGCTGAGGTAATCCAGCAGTGCTTATAAAAGACAGATGGAGGGAAGAAAAGTCTGATGTCTATCTTCTACTACATCAAGATTATTCTCAAAGAGCACTCTAAGGGGACTTCTCACACCTGATTGTCACCTGGCCATCACAAGAAAGGTTTGCAAGGAAAGCAAAGGAGAGTTTGTTGTTGCTGGAATCCAGCCCATGTCTTGGCTAGACTAGCACACTGTGTAAAACATTATCTCATGTGGAATCTCTGTCTGACAGAGAAGCACAAGTTAAAAGTGCTTAAGAGTACAGTAATACATTCAGTGAATTAAGAGTTCTGTAGGTGGAACTGCAAAAACTGCAGAGCTCTAAGGGTTAAATAGTGAAAAAGTTATAAAAGGTGTGGAATTCCACTGGAGTCCATTGGAATTCCAAGGGAAAGCACCTAGTGGTGCTGGGGACCCCTCTCCCCCAAACAGATGAGGGTACAGCTTTGATTCTGTCCTAGTTAAAAAAACAAACCTGTGGAGCTCCTGGGAGAGCATTTGGGGCTTCAAGAGTATTGCCTTGGATTTTGTGATAGGTTTTTAGTAAAGAGTGCTCCTGATACACAAGTTAAAACCCAAGTGATATAGGGAACATTTATGTTGGTTATATTTATTGGTTGTAACAAGAAAACTGGGGAAGAATTTGCTTTTAGAAAACTGTAAAAGTCTTCCTTCTCCTCCTACCCCAATTCTGCTGTGTCCCTCTCCCTAAGAATTGGAGTTGGCAGCCAAATAATATTCTTTGGCTAGCCTCCTCGAACAGAGCTGGCAACAAGATAAGATTCTGCTGGATAGGCTCCATCCTAAAGGAAAATTGAGAATTTGTTATTATTAGCTTAACACATTAAGCTGTCTTAGGTAGGCAGCATACATTTAGCAGAAGCACTCTGGAAGATTGTTAGCAATAATTTTCAAAACTAAGGACAGAAGCTCCCTCATGTATTCTCAAGCTAAAATACAGATTTTTGTTTAGGAGTTTGAAGAAGTTTCATTTCTAGGCATCTAGTGTTTGGCATGTCCAACCTGGGCTTGTGGAATGAATATTCTTCAAAGAGTAGCAAAAGCTGTAATTCTTTTTATATTGTTTGAGAACAGGTTTGCCCTAAGTTTGCTGTACATAAACCTATAAGGACTGGAATTAGACTAGAAAATTGTAAGGGCCTAAATAATCCCCTTAGGCCAGTTAGGTTGGTATTAGGCTAGCTGAAAAATACATAATAAAGAGACTACACATGGTCTCTTAGGCTTTCCTCCCCCCAACACTCATCTGTGTATTTTCCTGCTAAAAATGAGTATCCTGAAGAATTACTTCTGTGATAGCAAGTTTGAAATCTTGTTTAAGAAGGCTGGCTCCCAAATTCACAAGTCAATTTTGCCTCTGACCCCTCTGCTATATTACAGGACATTTTTAGCAAAGCTTAGAAAAAAAAATTTTTTTCCTAGCCTAAAATGAAGAAGGTAAAGTAAGATTTTGTGGGAAATGTGTGTTGCATTGTTTGTTTAAAAGAATACTGAGGCTGGAAAAGATAAGAATACTCTACAGGCCAAATTAGATATAGGAAGGATAGGGAACTTTTGAAAGCTACCATCAGTTTACAAGCACCTTCTCTGCAAGATGTGAAAAATAAGCTAAAGGGATGTGGATTTCAGACAACTCATGTGACAAAATTACAAAATCAGGTAGCTGAATCTGCTTCCAAAATTGGTGCCTTCCTTAAAGGCAATAGTTAAGGAAAAGCTAAAAGCAACCGTGTGCTCCCTTCTTGTGACTGCATTTCAGGAAAGAGACAAATGCAACAGCACATTGACCATTTGAAACTTGACAAAGCATGCCTGTCTTTTAATGACATATATGTAGGGCTTGTTTTCTCTTGCTGTGATCATGCTTGCAGTGATGATTCCTGCTACAATCCATTAGAAGTAAGAGCTATATGAAGGACACTTCATCAGATGCCTTCAGCATAAGAAAGCGTAGTTACACAGAAGCACAGAGGTTGGCTGAAGCTTTAGGCACGTTTAAGGATTATCTTTTAGACTGTACCTACAAGGTGCATTAGACTATTATAGAAATGATTTTAAATGGCGATGAAATCTCTAGATTTCCTAATGATTTACAGTAGGCCCTTTTCAAGAATGATGACATACCGTGACAAGACCAAGAGGGCAGTTCAGGGTGGGCTAGCCTTCAGTGTAATAACAGTGAGAAACAACAGACAGAACTCACAGGCCACTAGTTATAAAGGCCCACGTACCTTCAAAGCAGGACAGGCGGGTTGCCTGTCCGCAGACAAAGGATATGGGTCAAAGATACATCTTTTATCATGGTGGCTATTTTTCTAAATTTGGGTTTTTCATTGTTATTGTTTAGCTGCCCAGTGTCATGGAAGTAAGATGGGCAGCCATATAAATTGAATGAATGAAGAGAGAGACAGAGCGTGAGCACATTTTGGGAATCTATTTTGTCTTTAAAAGAAGAAACATCGTATTTAACATTTTAAAATGTATCCTAACAGACGGAACATAATGAATGGAGAAAATGGTTGGAAAATTGGTGTATTAGTCAGTTGGCTACATACAGAGAAAAAAGGGATGAGCAGGAACACTATAAGGAGGAATTGGCATAGGAACTGGAGTTCTAAACACCATAGTTATAGATGTGATATCTAATAAACTGGGCAATACAACTGCAGAAATCCAGAAGCTGGGTTAGTCAATTTCTGCCTCCTTAACCATTTTGATTGAATTGTTGGAGGATACCCTAAAGGTATTACCCAAATGGCACACTTTGGAATGAGGACAACAATTAATAATTGTTCAGGCTATTGGGTCCCTAAAAACTAATGCATCCTGGGATATAATGTGCTTCCAAGGCTAGAGCATGGGATTGTAAGTAACCAAGCACATCATATGAGAGGGTTTAAATGGTCATACTCAATGGAGGTGAAGAAACTCATTTGGGAAAATGCAACCATAGAAGAGAGGTTGAAAGAGACCGAAAAGCAGTCAGTTTTATTTTTCTGTGTCATTGTAACAAAATTGTTATGTATATATTAATTCTAACAGCCCAAAAGGAATGGACAATATTTCCCATGATTCCTCTAGGTCTTAACTTGCCCAATAATATGGTGCTTTCTCAAGCCCTCAAAAACAATTTTTGCATATAATAATGATAGTAATTGGGTAGAAAGGAAATCTCAGACACGAGAGGGATGTAATAAAGGGGAATGTTTAGAATAGATATGTGATGTTCTGATTCTTCCTGAACAAAAAGCCTGCCTATTTTATAAACAGAATGCATCAAAGGAATGTAAGTTGGATATTTAATCAGAGGACAGGAGTATAGTGGGAATGTGGGGAAAAGTTGTTTATACCATCTTGCTTATTGGTTTGGTTAATCCAAAATATATCCCTCCTATTATCAGGCTTATATATCTGAGATATTTGATATTTGCCACTGACAGAAAAAAGTGAAAACACAGGAAGCAGCCTTCTACATAAACAGATCACTGGGCCCTCTAGCCCAATATTACCAGCAGTAACTGGCAGTAGCTATTCTGGATGGCTGCAACTGACCTTGGGACTTTCGGCATGTAAATCATTTGGCTAAAATATCCGGAACTAGAAAAATGACTACATAGGTACAGTTGATGTATTGAATCCATAAACAACACTGCCAACCCCTGAAACCCCTGATACTGCAGTCAAAACACTGATTTTCAATTTAGCAGTTCTAAACTTACACTCTGTTGTACATCATCCACTGCACGGCTCTTCTCATCATTTCCATTGTAATTCTGGATGGCTTCAGTGTATGTCCTAAGGAAAGTGTCCTTGATCTAAATGGAAATTAAGACAATAGGGTAAGCTGCACTGGGGCAACAGCCCAATTAACTTTCCAGTAAGCTCTCTCCTGCCCACCCCCAACAGTGAGGAAACATGTGATTTTAAATGAAAAGACAAAAGTATTTTTCTCATGCCATTCCTCCTGAAAAAAACATTCAAGAGCAGTGAAAGTCATCTGTGAACATTCAATAGTTCTCTGCATTGGTACACCCTACAGCAGAATTACAATTAAGTCTCACATTTGGTATTGTGAGAGCCAAAATCCAAACTGATAAAGGGAGGAGCAGTTATTTAGAAAAAAGGAAGAAAGAGCAAATGAGGGTGCCCTGCCTTTACAAAAGCAGCAGGCCTGCTCTCCTCTTCTCTGCCCTCTTCACTGTAATAGCATCAGAAAGAATACTCCTGCCCTAATTGACAATTATAGAGAGGCCTAATATGAAAACCAGAATTCTTGTGTGGTAACCCTAAGCCATTTTTCCCCTAATAAATGTTACTAATCAGAGCTCTAAGAGACTTGTTCTCTGTATTAACTATTTCCAGTCCTGGAAGGGTCAAGAAGTCAGAGGTAAAAAGAGAAGGAAAGAAGGGAGGGAGGGGGGAAGGAAGGGAGGGAGGGAGGGAGGGTTTGAGCTGCCTTTCCAGCAAACCTGATAGTGGTGTCATACTTCATTTGCCAGCATTATCCATGTCAGTGGTTCTTAAACATCAAGACCCCTTTACATTGTTAAAAATTATTGAGGACCCCAAAGAGCTTTGGTTTATGTGGGTTACATCTATCAATATGTACTGTGTTAGAAATTAAAACTTAGAAATGTTAAAATATTTATTTATTTGACTTTAAGGACCCCCTGAAAGCAGTTGACTTTGAGAACTGCTGATCTAGGTTTCTTAGAGAAATTGAAGAGTTTGCTGGGAAATACATCACTATAATAATTAGGCTAGAACAGTATATATTTGTGCCAAGAACAGAATTTCCCAAAAGTTTCTATGCATTTCTGTGTGAACCCAGGAAAAGACTTGGCTATTTTAAAGAACTGCAGATAGGTGCCACATTCATGCCCACACATGTTTCAAAACACCTTTTCTGAATATTCAGTCATTCAGATATTTCAAATCTGAAAATGCCAGTGGTTGATTCTTTAGTTGCTTCTAAAAAGCAAAACATTTCAGGGACATAATAGAACTGCAGGGACTTTTTAGAAGCATAAACAATATCCTAAATTTTAACTGCTATTTCCTAATTAGAAACGATATGTATTTCTGAAGAGAAGCCCCAGGTCCTGTGTCATTGAAGCAATGTTAAGAGTTCCTTAATCTGAGAATGTGACAGAAAATTTTAAAGAAAGAAAGAAAAAAGAAAGCCAAAACAAACCCTTCAGGACACCAAAAATAGCTTTTTGGACTCCTTCCCCCACATTATTTTAATCAGGTGTTTTTTGTCAGATATTTTTCATTCAGCTTATGAAAAATATGCCACAATATGTACAGAATGGTGCAAAAGACACATCTGCCTTGGACTCAAATTGTTTTCCAATTTCATCAGTGTTTGATTTTATTTTTTTTTTAAGCGCAGGAAAGAAATACAATTTTCAAAGCAGCAACACAACTATTTTAGTTGGGTCTTGCATTCTCAGAAATCCTCTCTACATTACAGTCAAATACTTGTCCAGTTGAAGTAGCAGCACTTATGTAAACAGTTTAAGCTGTCTTGCTCTCTTCAGCATAAATTAAAAGAAGATCTGCCCAATGGACAAAGAAATAAATTTAACTCAAAGGTAAATACAGAATAGTAAAAGCCAGAAGCCATCATTAAATCCTTTGACATGAAATGAAAACAGGTTTTTGCACTGTACATCTTTCTGCCAAATGAAGTAGCACCCAAAATACACAGAGCTGCTGAATTTATCTAAATTATAATAGCCAGTATCCTAAGAAGCTTCAGCCAGTGTTGCCACCAATTTACCAACAAAGAATTTAGACTCACCTCATGGCGAAATACAAATCCTGAAATGCCAGCGACTAGCTCAGCCAGGAAGACCAGAGATAGAAACATAGCATACTGAAAAAGAAGAGATAAAGAAAGAGAGAGAGAGAGAGAGAGAGAGAAGAAACATACACAGGTATAGAACAGATTACACACTGAAGAGGGCTTCCATCCAGTATATGTTTTATTACTGGGGGGCAAAACAGCAACTCTAATACACTAGTCTTAATTCTCCTTCGCAACCTTAGGTGCACACAGTCAGCACTACACGAAAGACCAGTAAACCAGCCTTCCTTAGGGTATGAGACCACCACTCCTTCTGTCTTGGTTAGCTTACTCATCCAATTTCACGAGACCAAAAATAGATATGGGAATGCTAGGAAAAAATAGGTGGGTGGGAGGGGGGAATCTGTCCTCCAAGCCCTTTTCATTAGTTAAAAAGAACTACAAAAAAGATACTACATCTAGTTAAGGAAAGGTATTCATATAATGGAATATGCTCCTGATTCAACAGGAAGACTTTTCTAGGCAGGATCCTTTTAATTCTTATGCTGAGGAAAGCAGCACGTATATGAAAAAGGTGCATGGCTGCTTCCCTGGGATTGTCTTTTTCACAAAAGAAAAGGGCTCTGAGCCTTCTTTATTGAGGAAATGTCCTGCTCAGTACTGGTGGATTTATTCTTTTCTTTCTACTAGGCTAACTAAACTCCAAAATACTGGAAGTGGAATGGAGTGGCACCATCTTGAACTGCTTGGTCAAGACGATGATGTAGTCCTAAAACTTTTGGGGCGGCCTATAGCCAAACAAGCGGCCATTGATAACCCAACCCCATCCCCATATGGCTAGCCAAGTCCCTTTCAGAGCTGTGGGTCTCCTTGTATGTGATATAATTTGTTAATTTCAAATTCACAAGAAGATCTTGGGATCATAGCTTGGATATAGTCCAGCCCAGGAATTAAAGCAATTCTTCCCTTTATTCTGTGTTCATTCTGGTCATACAAGTAGATGTTCAAATGTGAAATGTTTGCAGTTGTACATACATTTATTTGCAACCATAGGTTTTAGCAAAATTCATATAAAATTACAATGATCCATATCAGTTCAATACATCCCCTCTGATATTAACAGCCCTATTTGTCAACATCTGCTTTTGTATCCTCCTTGCGGCCATTGAAAACAATGCAACTGGTTTTGTTACATGTTTATCTACATGAGTCAACAGAAAATAGATTTTTTTCTTCTAAACAAGACTGATTCAGTTGGATTAACAAAGACATGATGAATCTAGCTCTAGATTTCTGATATAATTTGCAATGTAATAAGTAATGGATCAGATCTTCCACCTGTGAGTTATTACAAATGCATAAATGGTATGCAGTTGGTAGTCCTTTACATCTTCCATCCAAATAGGCTGTCGGCATTGCTGGAAAACAGAGTTCTGTGAAAGTCTCAGGGAATGGGAGGTAAGAGACTGTAAATAATATGACATTCCTTGACTATCCTTAAAAGATTGATACCACTTAGCTTACATACCCACTCTCTATCTTGTCTAAAATCTTTTAAAAAATAAGTAGTCCCTCAATGGTGTATGATAATCTGTGTCATTCAACAGTTCCTGATCTAGTGATAATTATGAGAATAGTTTTAGATACAAGTTCACTCATCTATTACTGTTAAATTGTTTGTGGAGGCATTGTTTTGCCAAATAAGTATTGGGCATGAAGACTAGTCTCCTATAATATAAGATTATTGTTTTCTTTACCTTTATATTAATTGATGGAAGGCCCACTTCTAATCTCAACATTGCTGCTGGTATTCATGGGGGTAAGGCTAAAACTGATCTCATGAATTTATTCTGGACCATTTCTAATTCTTCTAGTTTACTGAAACTCCAAATTGGGGCCCAATGTGAAATGTTAATCCATGCTAATAAAGGAAAATGTTATACAGGATTGCAAAATCTGTGACAGTCCAGATTGTGCTGGACTATATCTCTTGTTTTCTAACCTTTGGCCATTGGGTTGGGGACAGATTTGCTTTTGATATATGGGCAAGGCAACTTTCAAGAACAACAACAACAATGACATATCAGTTAGAAACATAAGGATTGCAAAATCTGTGACAGTCCAGATTGTGCTGGACTATATCTCTTGTTTTCTAACCTTTGGCCATTGGGTTGGGGACAGATTTGCTTTTGATATATGGGCTTTGACTGAACATTCATTCCTTATGCATCCACACTTGAGAATTCAGAAGCAGGTTCCCTCACCTTCTATAAAAAGGCAAGGGCAACAATAATATCTATCTTTTAAGAGTGCTGTGAAAATTGAAAAGTGAAAGAAACGATTGTGACTTGCCTGAACATTAACAATACTGCCACCTTGGTATTTTAATGGTCTGTTATTTCTGAAGTCTTTATTGTTCTATGCTATGTTTCTAACTGATATGTCATTGTTGTTGTTGTTCTTGAAAGTTGCCTTCTAAATTTCTCCAAAATTGTAAAATAGGATATCAATCCTTTTAAATAAATAAATAAATAAATAAATAAATAAATAAATAAATAAATAAATGGCTTAGCAATCAAAACAATTGAAATTACTTTGTACTTAAATAGTTACCTGCTGAAAAACAAGTTTTTTAAGTGAATGTATTCATTAAATACACTAGTAAGATACTGCCTCTACATGCATGCACACACACACACACACACGCGAGAAAGGATGGTCTAGAACAAGGGTCCCCAAACTCTTCAGCTCATCAACCCCTTCATGAAGTTTCAGGTTTGTCCATTGTGAACAAACTGGCAAAAAACAAATCCTGAAATAAATATTTAGTTTTATTCAAAAGCACTTAAAAATAAAAGGTGGGTATTTTAGAAGACTAAAACCACAATTCCATTAAAAATCAGTGGCACCTACTTTCCACGTGACTGCAGTCTCTGGGGTCCCACAGAAGCAACCCGAGCAGGGATTTCTGTGGCATTTTCTCTGGCAGCAGCTGCTAGCTGGCTTCGATTCTCAGCTCATTTGAGGAAGCTAGTTGGGAGTTGCTGCCAGAGAAAATTCTGCCAACATGGGCATATTGATCTCTTCTATGTAGACTTCAGGACTGCAGCCAAAAGATTTGTTAGCAGAAGTAAGACTGTTATCTCAATGACATACATTTGGATATGCTTGTAGTAACTCCCCACCCGCCCCCAAACACCCATCACTACAGTACATCTTTCTTACCACTCTCACATTAATTACTTCTTCCCATATCTGTAATGGAAAACCTATGCAAAAATGTGTACTTGTTGGCAAAAGTGTGTACTTGGTGGGGTTTTTTTTTCCTGTTCTTCTGCTTTCCATAAAGTTATATTAATTGAATTTATGTATTAAATACCCACACCCAAGAATTATTTAGAATTGTTTACTCTGTTTTCTAAAACACTGTAGTTGTGACACAGAGTCCTTTCAACTTAACCCATGGTTTATTCAAAATTCAAAGCTACCCTGAAAAAGTTAACATATTCAAATACTGTTCACTTACAGCACTGTACCTAAGCCACCGCAATTCTTTTCTGATTCTAATCTCTTTCTGAGAAAAGAAATTAGTGAATGGCAGAAAGATGCAAGTTATTCGCATAATTAAATCATTTCCCACATTTTAAAGAGATCAGCATCTTTCTTTTCAAATCAAGCTACTTCCTAGGTATATACTGTATAAACAGAAAATATACCCATTTATGGGAAACAGTGATTATACTCTCTGGTTCTTCACGGATGTATGCCTACGTGTTTATCTGAACCTGCAGCACTCCAGAATCAAGTTATTTAACCTCCTCACCAGTTTCAGCATCCATGGGCTT